ATTATAATATCAGTACCACTCTGAGGGGTAAGACCACTCGATGTCGTAGATGTCCTTCAATCATAGCTCATCATTGTTGAGGAACATGATGTGATGGCTCAGTCGGAGACCGTGTGAGGAGGGTGGGGTGAGCCCGCCTATGGCTGCTTTGTTCTACCAACAATGATCGAGTAGCGATTTAGGCAGAGAACAACCAGTGATAGAAGCCCCACTGCTACCATCATCGTATCGTATGCGGTATCAGTACGACCCCTCCCCACGACTCCTTTACGCACGATCCCTCTTTCTTAACAACTACGCTCTTATGAATTTCCCACGAAATTCTGCCGTCGAGCGGAGGGAGAACACAGTCCCGATCAACTATCGGTATTGTGCCCTCCCTGCTCTCGACAGCAGGATTCCAGGGAAAATTCGTAATAGCGTTGTTAGGTGAGGAAAGAGGGGTAGCGCACCGTAAAGGAGTGTGGCGACCGCGAACTAAGGGGAGAGGCAAGGTGCAGCGCGCGCGAAATGAGGAATAAATGTTCCAGTCGCCCTTTGACATGAGCCTTGAACTCTTTCCCACACAATTCCATCACAGCTTATTGCTCGCAGGAAGCATTCCTCGTTTTTGTTTTTTTCTTCCTCGTTTCACGTGTCGCCGTCACTTCTCTTTTTCTTCTTCAGCGTTTGTCCAGCTCTGTGGCGAGGTCCACTCTAACCAATTCGGGACGCCACTTCTCCCGAATGGATGCTTGGGATGGATGCCAACTATCAGCATTTTCGCATTTTCTCTGCGCTAAGCTCGCCTTCGACTGCGGGAGCTACACCGACACTCTTGAGTGTGTTATTACTGCGAAGCGATCGATACGCGTGAGACCGGCCGCCCAGCGCAATATTTTCACCTCCATTACTCTGAGGTAGGCTTCAACTTCTTTGGCCGTGGCCAGGATTCAGGACCGTGGTTCCACATCGCGATGTCAAACATGGTTCCATAGATGTTCGACTTGATGCGCTCTGATATCGTCTTGCCTCAAGAATGTCAGTCATAGAGCGCCACTTAGACCAAGCTTCACTGACGAGGAGGCCTTTGAAACCAACACTCCTCTTAGCGCTTACCGACCAAGCGAAGGATCCTTGTCATATAAGAACACATGCCGATTGCAGCGGCCGTTTTAGTTCAATAGTACAGCTGTTTCGGAATTTGTTTGTTTTCGGTACAGCTGTTTGTGACCTCTAACCATTCCCGTAGAAAAGCGAAGCTGTTCATCGCAGCACTGCAGCAGGTTGCGAAGTCGCGTTTCGGGCGTATGAAGACCAAATTTGAAACTGATGGTACCACACAGTACAGTAAGATGTTCCACATATCTCTTCATGAACGTGGAAAACGAAATGAAGGAAGTATTGCGAAGGCGAAAGAGAGAAGCGTGGACGGCATTCTGAACTCTTTATGAGGTTCCTGATCATCTGGCTGACCCGGATCTTCGTGCCAGTCTGTTCAGTTCCAAGCTCTGCCCACACGGTTCTGGACACGGGTGGACAGTACGTTCACCTCCAAAAGTGCTAACTTTTTACAGAGAGCTCGGACGCTGCCTTCTAAGGTTCAGTAGGTACATGCAATATCCAACCGGACTCTGTAGCTCTCACCTATGCAGCATGTTCCACCTACGCGACCTCTGAACTATGTAGCGAAAGCACGACCAAGACGGGCATATTATGAGAGGCGCGATGACAGAAAAGAGAACGGTGGAATGCACTCTTGTAGATCTTCCGTGGACCAGAGGAAGACCTGCAGCACGATGGGAGATGCCCTCGCCTATCACGCGAAGCAGCTGCGCATGTAGGTGAACGAAGTCCCAGTTCATCTCCGCAGACTTTTAAGCCGACCGTGGATGATGCTTGCGAAGAAATGAATAATTCAAACTGGTGCAACACGTAATGAAGAGGAGCCGTATGAGTAATAAGTGAGCAAGCACTTCTATAGTCTGCATGGCATCCAGTACGGCTTCACTGCTCTGAGTGGAAGTTGAATATGTGCCGCATCCCAAAAAAGGGGCTGATCAACGGCGATCGATCAATTCTTTTGGCTTCATGTCGTCCATGAATGGCCAACGGACATGAACCCACTTTACTTTACTATGCAAAACCAAGTGAACGATGAAAGTTTGAATGAACTCAAATAATCAATAACGAGTATTCCAACAAATTAAATTTCACAGAACGATAATCAGGAGAGGTGTAAAAAAGAAACTGACGTCTCGGTGATTTCGAGAATTCCCGCGCAACTCCAGGTCGTTTTTGTCGATTCGACGTAGTCTTGACGCATCAAGTGGGACTCTTAGGTAGATCATGAGGTTCACATAATGCTTTGCTTGACCGTGCACTATAGAGTCTTCCTGGAGTAGTGGAAGTTAGATGACTTTTGTAGACAGGAAATGATATTTCATAAATAACCTCCTCACTGCACTTCGCCAGTTCTTCATCCGAAAAGTCGGAGAGATTGCTGAGTCGAGCAGCCGATAATGCCATAGCGGTCGGTTCCTCCAAGAAGTTCCACATATCGTGGTGACTCTGGAGAATCAAAATGCACATGAAAGGAGCAGCTCTTCTTGCAGATTCAGCTGTCTTCAATTCACAAACTGTTGCTGAATGTAACCATACCTTTCCTGATAATGGCATATTACCGTCATGCTGATTCCCATAATGACGCCGCATAAGCTCGTGCACGTCATGAAAGAATGCAGCCTCCCAGAAACGATGGTTAGTCCACACTGGGTGATCCTGTACGCATGTGTAAGCGTATTGCTGTACACCTTGAGTAAGTCTCTGAAAATCACGTTTCTGGAAACACGACTCTCCCAAGACGATAGTTGAATTGTAGGATAATGAACCCACTCGACAGTATACACTGCACAGGTGTAGACAGGCATATGCAATTCCGTGCTCATCATCATCGGACTCATGCTAAACTGGAGAATCATCATCACATGGCAGGAACAGGACAGCTAGACATGCATGAATGCAGTGGGTACAATAAT